CTTCAGAGAGGTGTAGATTCTCTTATTGAGAGAATTCTTCTAGATACTGCTGGTCTTCTACTCAAAACTTAGAAAGGTAATTGGTACTGTTTACCATTATCAACTACTTCGCCCAAATGGGCTGCAGCTTATTTGTTGGATGACTTGTTAGTGCAAGTGCATCACAGACATGTTAGCTAACGAATGGGTATCACACTGTGCGTGCTAAGTTTGTTAACCCTGGCCAAGTTGATTACGATGAGACATGCTATATGTCATGATGCAAACATGAGCAATAGTAAAGTGGTTGTTCTTTAAACCTCATAATGTTCAGATGAAAAGTACAACTCTCAGTGGATTATGTGGAATGGCTGCATTCTACATTTGTTAATATACAATAATTTATTTATGAACAAATAGGTAAATCAGCCATGCGTCAAAAGAGATATTACTACCAAACAACAATGGAAGAACAATGATGACCAGGTATATTTTCGGTATATGCTTGCTGGTATGGTTCACGTCTTATCTGTAGATAGCTTAGTGAAGTAAAGTGTGAGTTACAGCAGCTGCACGACACAGATGCATCAAACTTAAACACCACGTCACTGACAAACCTACAGAGAACTGGTTACTCTAGTAGTCAAGAGGTGGACGAGTAGGTTGACTCTGATGACGAAAGTAGTGAATTGTATAATTTTTTTCTCAGCTGATTAGGAGAAAGAGACTGTTCTGAGAGAGTCAGTGGAAAATAAACTAATAAAATAAAATGGTGTATACTAGGGTGGTACCATATTGGGAATTATACCATCCTTCTTATATTTGCTCTTCATTGGAAAAATGGCATTTTTAATTTTAGAATCGCTATGGAAATCATCTTCTAATGCATCGTGCATCTGATTCAACACAGCATCTTTGGGTTTCACTGTACCGTCAGTTTGTTTGTTTTGAATTTCGCGCAAAGCTACACGAGGGCTATCTGTGCTAGCCGTCCCTAATTTAGCAGTGTAAGACTAGAGGGAATGCAGCTAGTCATCACCACCCACCGCCAACTCTTTTTACCAACGAATAGTGGGATTGACAATAGAGGTATTGAGTAAGTGGACTAGTTGGTACACACTCCTGGGTTGAGAATACGTATCATATGATCTGTGAAAATGCTGGATTGCACGATTGGTTTATTTACTGAGGAATGACCGGAGCAGCTCATCGACTCACTTCAAGCATGTCACAGTGCTGAATGTTGGTTGGTTTTGAATTTCACACAAAACTAGTCGATGGTACCTGTGCAGTGAAGTTAGAAAGAAGGCAGCTAGTGAACACCACCCACCACCTGCTCTTGGGCTACTCTTTTATCAATGAATAGTGGGATTGACAATCACAATGTAATGCACCTCGACTGAAAGGGTGAGAATGTTCAGCAACTGAGATTTAAACCCGTGGTCCCCAGATTGCGAGTCAAGTGCCCTAATCGCCAGGCCATTGTTGTACGACTTGTATTTGTTTCCAAGGTGATCATTGACCGAGCTACGATTTCTGCAACATTTGTGGAGTCATAGTTTCTTGTTAAACACTAAGTTACATGATGGGCTATCTGTGCTCTGTCAAAACCAGATTTTTAGCATTTTAAGCCTCGTCTTACTGCTGAGCCATAATGGAGTATACAATCATGTATTTCAGAGCAGATCACAAGACACTAGAAATTAAGTCTTTAAATATAAAATTTGTCATTCTTATATGGCCATGTACATTTTTTTTATCTTCTTCACCAGAAAAGCACAACAGATAATAAGAGCAGTGTATCAATCAGAAACTTTGAACTTAAATACTTGAAACATTTCTAAACTAACAGCCATTTCCAGTTATATTTCATCAAAGCCACAATATTGTTGTTAGTTTAAGAGATTTTGAATGTTTTACTATCAAAGAAAACTTTTAAAGTATCACATTAGACAACAACGTTTAAATTAACACAATTTTAATGTCAAAGAGTTACATGAATATTACTGATACTAAATAAACTGGATCATATGTTGAGGCATCAGAATAAAAAATAACAATTACATAAAAAAGTCCTAAACTGTCTACATCAGAGATTGAGCTCCCAAGCTCACCATCAAGCCATTAGTGGGGTGGGGGGCTAGAAACAACTTAAAATAATTGATCATGCTGTCATTGATTATTTATATCATTCCATATATTTTTTAATTATGTGTGATATTTCATGTCCAGACTTTTTCTTAGTTTTTGCTAAACTAGATTTATTGTTTTTGAAAGTCCCCAGTTCATAATTTTAACAAAAACTGGATTTCCAATAAAAACAGTGTGTTCTTTAGAAATAACCTTTTTTTATATAGGTAACAGTTTTTCAAATTATTAAATTATTTGTATCCTACCCACAGGAATAATTCCACATTATTTTCAACACCAGAAGTCTTGTTAACATCAGTTAAAACGTTACCTATATATATATCACATTTTAATGTATTTTTTCTATTGTCACAGTTTCATTGAGCCGACTACTCCCAAGATTTTTTTTAATCCAGGTATTTCATTTCATGCTTTAAAAATAAAGTTCCATTTCTTTGAGATAAAAAGCTTTATTTGTAAAAATAAATTATAAAGAACAAAAGCACAGAACAGAATATGAAAATAAGTATGTTCTTTTGGGTTACTAATCCTCTTTTAAATCGTGTCCAAAAACTCGTAGGATCAATCTTCATATTTTTATTAATTTTTACCCTTGCTGGCAGGCTACAGCGTTATACTTGATACATGACGGTTATTTACATGCGTGAATTATTTTAACTAGCTAAATAAAACATGGGAATGACGACGACTTGAAAACTATAATAGTATGATTTAATAAAAGATAAAATCACATTTTTGTGGGTAATATTGTAGCAAAAGCAACGCCATTAATATACTTTACATATTCAATTAACAGTCCACACACACACACACGTGTACGGATATCTATCTGTAAGACGCTATTTACTGCTTCATCTGGAAGTCACAGTAACTTTTGATGAAAATGACGAGAAATGAAACTAATAAGCCAGTAAAACACAGTTCTACCAATTCTTAAAGGCGAAACAAAAAAAAAAGAAAATAATGTAATTAATCCAGTTTATTATGACTCACAAACACATAGTCTATACAATCCTTACAATAAACATATTTTTCAGTTTAAAGCCCATGCCAAAAATGTAATGAAGTCCACAAGAGTTGGGAGAGAACTGTTTCTTCAGAGTATTAGAAAGCCCTTCAAGTAATCTTAACCACTTACAATATAGTTCTTTTTTTTTAATGATCTGTTTTAAAATAAAGAATACAATGAATACAGCTGTATATGTAAAAGTAAAACAAAAAAAAAACACATAACTAATGCTTGAGAACTGCTCATATGTACTATCATTTGTCTATTTTATTATCCAAATTATTCTCTTCTTCAGACTGTTTATCTCTTTTACATGTTCTTTTCTCATCATCTGATCCACTGTTCTTAGTCTCCTTGTCTTTGGACTTGCTTCTAAAAAAAATAAAAAATATCCAACTCTAAATATACAATTATTTGGAATTTAATATAATATTAGCACAGAATCAGTAAATTCTATAGTCTGACAAAAAGTAATCCAAGTTTGTACAAAAAGTATATTAACTTCACTTGAGAAACTATAAAAGATGGAGAGCATCATAAAACTAAATGTATTAAAATATCCGAAAATTTCACTGGTTACAGAAATAAACTGCTCTCTCCTTCTCTAATTTCAGTTTGTTTGTTGTTAAGCACAAAGTTACACAATGGGCTATCTTTGCTATGCCCATCACGAATATCTGCATATCATCCAAGTTTCCTCACAGAACACTCCAATAATTTGTTTTGAAAATTTGTGCTAACCATCCCTAATTTTCAACTAATCAATTCTTTATTGAATTTATTTGTACCAGTCCACAACATGTCTCGGCTGTTGAAAGCACCGACTGATTTACATTGTTTTCAATATCCAATGAATAAAAGCCGCTTAAGACCTTTATTCCGAACTTTTTTTGGGAATTTTACCAAGAGTCTGGAAACCACTGGTATAGATTATCCAATCTATTAGTTTCTACTTATGAAGACTCGTTGGTTAGTTAGTTTTGTCGTAGTTCAAATAAATCATATGTTTATAAGCAAAGGTGTGAAAGGACAAAAACCTTACAAGCTCAGCAGAAGAGTACAAAATCTGGCTTTACGAGATAACTAATTTTACACGGTTATTTAGAAAGGAGAATAAAGTATTACAGCTTTAAATTCATTTTAATTAATATACTATTAGTTATACAAATAATTTTAGATTATGAAGAGATATGTTTTACTTAATGCAAGATGTGAGCCGATAGAACATGAAACATATCTTTCATTATCAAAGAAAGAATATCAAAAATGTTTGGATACCTTTTTAATCTCTCCTTTTCACTTGAACGTCCCTTTTCGCGGTCTTTCCTCTCCCGTGAGGAACGTCTATCACGAGAACTGGAATGTCTAGAGCGTGATCTAGAGCGAGACCTGCGCCGAGAGTCCAATGGCGAACGTGACCTACGACGCCGTCTTTCTCGAGAGCCAGATCTAGACCTGGAAAGTAATAACACGGAGATAATTACCAAAATAATTTCTTGTTCTATCAGTAATAATACAAAAATAGTTATGATAACTATGAAAAATAGAGGGGGAAAAAAAAAGACATCCCAATTGCTCGATTCAATTGGCAAAACTTACCTGCAAACCACATGTTCACATAAAAACACACAAAAAGCTAAAGCTAATCAAACATCTTCATATAAAAACACACAAAAAGCTAAAGCTAATCAAACATCTTCATATAAAAACACACAAAAAGCTAAAGAAAAAGTAATTCTCCGAGCCCAAGTCGAAGTAATGGAAGTGGTCGTCGTCGCAAACAAAGGTAAAGAATTTATTTAAAGTAGATGTTTGATAAGCTTTAGCTTTTTATGTGTTTTCATATGAAGATGTTTGATTAGCTTTAGCTTTTTGTGTGTTTTTATATGAAGATGTTTGATTAGCTTTAGCTTTTTGTGTGTTTTTATATGAAGATGTTTGATTAGTTTTGTTAAAGATGTGGAATGATAACGGGGTGTTCTTCACCAAAAATAATACTTTTTCTACAGAAAACTATCGAAGACAGAAGGACAAAACATCATGGACAAGAAAAAGAAATTGCCAAGGAACGAGAAGATCGTGACAAAGAGCGTGAGAGAAGCCGTAGCTAAGTCCCATAATGTAAAAGTTCAGGTTACAGATTAAGTTATTTGTACCTAGGAATCTAGATGGTGGGACACTGAGTTGTTTGTACCCAATTCTAACACTACAAATATATATAAGTAGTTATTAATCTTTTCAACTCTTGCAGCCTTTCTGACAGAGCAAAGTCTATATAAAGCCATCCTAGCCCTACCGAGGCCCCTGCATGTGACAGAAGAAACTTCTGACAGAGCAAAGTCTATATAAAGCCATCCTAGCCCTACCGAGGCCCCTGCATGTGACAGAAGAAACTTCTGACAGAGCAAAGTCTATATAAAGCCATCCTAGCCCTACCGAGGCCCCCTGCATGTGACAGAAGAAACTTCTGACAGAGCAAAGTCTATATAAAGCCATCCTAGCCCTACCGAGGCCCACTGCATGTGACAGAAGAAACTTCAGACAGCAAAGTCTATATAAAGCCATCCTTATATTAAGGATATATATATATTAAACTTATATTAAAGTTTTTCTTCATTACCCATTCAAGCCGATCTCCAGCCATTATTAACAAACATTAGTTAAAACTCAAACATATATGCTACTTCTGAAGTTAACCAGTCTTCAATATCCAAAGGCTTTGAGAGACTTCAGATGTTGAGAAACCAAATCAACTCCGTTTCATCTGCAATAATTTTGTTGATATTTACTTTTAGAGAAGCAAAAGCACATTGACTCTACACGTGTTTCATTTAACAGGAATTATATATTTACCATACACTAATTGCTAACAGTTGTACAAATGTATCTCACTTTACAATAAATCTTTATAGCATGATGCTATTTAAGATTTGTCAATTTTAATTTAGAACAACAATTTTGGGATGAATCTTTGAAGCTTTGTTAACAAAGTATTTCTGTTCATACACAGATAAAAACAAGTATGTAGGGATTATATATTTGAATAATTTCAAGATCATTAAGCCAATTAGAATAATTTTTTTTGTCCTGAACTCTTTAAAGCTTATCTATAAAGATTGATTTTTTAATAATACATATGATACAATTCTTAACAACTGCTTTAAAATTTTATACATTGTAAAGATTTCATCTCACCTTCAGTTCATCCAATTTCTCCCTGATGGTTATAAATCCCAAATGTAACTTTCCGCCGAAGTGGTCTGCTAACCGTCTGTCGTTATCGTGTAGCCCCAAGTAAGCTGAACAAACCTCACACACGCGTAGCTTCTGCTGCTGGTAGCTCGATGCTGGCATGGAATTGGTATAGTCTTGCTAAATATTAGTGACATAGAGAGTGGAATAGTTTTGTGAATCTATTCAGAGCCATATACACACAGTTATAAAACAAACTCTAAAGAAATCATGGTAGCATATATATTGACTTTGACACTCGTGTTTCACCAGCTTTGAATACCTGCTGGAAGAAATTCACACTAACACAGAGAAATAGTCAGGCTTTTCTTATATATATATAAACATCTAAAACACTACAAGACTGAAACAGGTCAGACTGGCAGAACAGAAATAGTCAGGCTTTTCTTATATATGGTCACCTAAAACACTACAAGATTGAAACAGGTCAGACTGGCAGATTTTAGTTATGTCTCAAAATAATTTAATCTGAGTTAACCTATCATGGCATCACACACACACACTAGTTGCAGAAAGCAGCAGTCAGAATGAAACTATGTCCAAAACAAATATTTTTATAACACTCAAAATGTAACAAAGAACTGGCTGTACTGATTACAAACAAGGAACAACATCACAACAAGAAAGGGCGAGCATGTTTGGTGGGACGGGGGGTTCGAACCCGCGACCCACAATTTGCGAGTGAAGCACCCTAACCACCTGGCCTTCCCGGGCCGAGAGACTTACGACACTTAACACTCCCTATATCAATACAAGTCTCATATCTAAGACCTACTTTACTTAACGTAACAGTGACATTTAAAAAAACCTTAATCCTACCTCAGCTTGGGCTTTCTTTTTACGTATTTCTTCAACCTCTTCTAGTAACTTGAATGACTCCTCCACGTTTCCTTGTGCTCCTAGTTTCTCTGCTTCTGCTAGCTTTTTCCCAATCTGTTCAGCTAAATCATGTACTCTGTTTAACTAGAGGAACAGAAATGAGCACCAATTATCATAAGAACAAATGTACTTAACACGTAACCCTAATGCGACGTCCTTTCTGGTACTTTAAGTCCAGTGGCAAAGTCTTTTGATCAACAAAGATATAATTATATATCCAACAGTATCATACATGAAATTTTAACTGTAACTATCACTTTAATTTAATTAGTATCAATCTCTAAAAACATTATTTATAATTATATGTTACTTAGTTAATACTTGTTTTTCCAATATTAATTTCTTAAGAACCCTTCTTCTTCTTCTCCATGAGCAATATCTTTAATTTTTTTTAGTATGTAGATATTTATATAGTAGTTTGAAATGTACTTCAGCTCCATAGATTAACTCATTTTATATTCAGTTTTAATTAATCACAAAACTGACTTAGTTTGAACCAAATGAAAGAGCTATCTTTAGTAAGTCTCAATTTCACACCCTTATCATGAAGCCTTTTAATTTCACCACTATGATAGAAAGACATCATGTATTTTAATAAAAATTATTGTATTTTTTTTTCTTGTATTGTAACCAATATGTGAGGAACGATTTCATTAAATAATTAAAAATAAAAACATTTTCAAGTGTGATCTGAATGGTTTGTTACTCCAGTTAACTTGTATGGCTAATTTAGCTCTAATTAATTTTAGTTTAACTAGTCAATGAGATTATATAAATTGCATACAGTTTAACACTCTCCAGGCTCGGTCAATTTGACCGACCACGTGACCTTTTGGTTAGTTTTAGTTTAACTAGCCAATGAGATTATATAAATTGCATACAGTTTAACTCTCTCCAGGCTCGGTCAATTTGACCGACCACTGATCTTTTTTGTACTCGTATAGTGTCTTTATACTTGGGGCGAGATGGTTAAATGTTTACAAAATAATTCCACACCTGATACTCAGTTCAAACACCTGTTTAAACAAATTCAAGTTTTTTTTTCAGGTGAGCACTGGTAGGTCTACTCTTCTGTTGAAATATACAATGAAAGCTATACATTTTGCTAAGGCTCTTTCTTGTCTCACTTTTCATACTTAATAACATCATTGCACCATGACCATAATGCTTTGATCAGTTGTAACAAATTTTACAAGTTGTTTTCATGTCTTCGTTGCTAATTTTTGATAAAACAATTATCTCCAGTTAGTCCCACCTGAATTTGCTTACCCTCCATTACACTTCTTTGAAATGATTCTCACCTTTGCTTATTTTGTGTAGCCTATAATTTACTTCTCACACAGTGTTTACTAAATATGGGACGTTACTACTGGTACCTGCGTTAGCACTAGAAACTTGCCACTTTGCCAAACTATGGCTGATGTCACAAACTGGCATGTACAAAAGCCTGCTATTTCCCATATTTGTGATAGGAGTCTATAAAATTAAATTGAATCATTACTAAGTTTATTTTCTGTTCTAGTTGTCTTCTTTTTCACAAGACGATTGTCTCATTGTAATCTCTATTTATATCTTGTCGTGTAGAAGTAAGCTGGAGGGACTGCATCAAGACGAACTTGCTATTTGACCCACTCGAGGACCTCTTTACAGGTAGTAACCTACTGTAACTATTATGACATTTTATTTATATATTCAATCTTCAAAATTGAACAACTTTTTGATATTGCCAGCTCCAATATTTTTGCACATTTCTCTCTTATTGGGAGAGCCTCAGTCATGCACTTAGAATGAACAATTTGACCATCTTGTGTTACATCTTGCTGGCCTGAAACATGTTATACAAATACTTGAAAAGATATTGTAATAGTTTCAACATTTTATTCAATTCAACTACTGTCAAACATCACAACTAAATATACGTCAGTCGTAACATGATTTCAATGGCTATATTTATGTATGTGTGCAATCATGTTTTTTTTTTTTTTT